CAAAAGTTTTAACTTTAAACAAGTAACTACCAACACAGATGAACTTTCATGATGATATTCGTTTTTGTTGGAGTACATGGTGGATTCTCTGATGTCTCATGGAGTTGGGGTGCAGGATACCGTTGCAGGGTTGCTGGTGCAGTGCTTTACTTCAGCGTCTGTGGTCGACTCCGTGTACACCAGCGCTCGCCAGCCCTTGATCGGATGTTTCGTGGCCTTTGCCGACCTGAAGACGATGCTGTAGGCATCGTTCTTCACCCTGATTGGTCCTGGGGAGAAACAACTTGAAAGCTCATCTCTAGTTATCGTGTTGGGATGATAACTTGCTCACAACACACTTCTACTTCTCTCCTAAATGCTTAGGCCAGAACTGGCCCCTAGCTTGCTCACAACACACATCATGTTGAAATGTTCTTTGCCTAAGTAGCAAGTATCTACGTTAACCCCTTACCAACCTATGGAGACAACATCTGATTATTTTTTCAACCATGTCCAATACTTTATCTAAGTGTTTGTTCTATTCGTTTTTTCTAAGTGTTCAATCTATTTGTTCATTTTAAACAGCACAGGAATTTGGTAGAGACTGATGTAAGGCTTTACAGTGCACTGTTATTCCTGTTTTTTTTCACTGTACTTTAATGTTTACTGTTTTCAAGTTCACTGTCATCTGTTCCATTACCATTGTCAAATCATTAATTTTGTCTTTTGGTCTCTCCTGCTACTGTGCATTTTCCTCAATTTTACTACAGTAACAGTGAAGACAAATATGAATGTGAATTACAATACCCACTTGTTATGGCAGATGTGTTGACGGAATGGCTCACTGGCCCATCAATGATTTTCAAGGTGTGAACCTCAGACATGTTCAGGTCGAGGAACTTGATGAACAAAGTCTTCCCTGCAGGGTGACATGTTAGAGGGTATGCATGGGGTATCTTGGCAATGCTTAATGGTACATTTTAGGAGGGCCTACTGTGAACTCACACAGGCCAGAAATGCTTTACCGTAAACTGACTTTAGTTCTTCTAGTGTGTATCACCTGGCTTTGGGAATGACTTCACTGGAGTTATGTTCTTTAGAATTTGTATTCATGTGATGTCTGGCAAAACTAGTCTACGGAACCTATGCTCCAATGATATGATTTGGGGGCAATTATGTTTGATAACAGTTTTTCAATAATGCTTAACCTGATGAATTTAGGATAACAAATAAAGCTCTATGTTGAATTTAGTGAGTAAGAAAACTCACATTGCAGTGGATATTCCCTACTCCCTAAATGTTTATTTTAACATGCTTGATCCTGCCCTCAAACATTTGACAATGTCATCTTCTAAAGAAT